TGACAGAGTAGCAAAATTAATTTATTTTATCCAGTAAAGCAACACTGGCATGAGTATATATATATTTTTGGATAATATATATGTTTTTTATTGTGTTTCAGAGTAGAAGAGCAATGTATTCAGCTGTTAATAGCAGCAACAATGAAGCCTGAACACCCATTTGCATCCTTAGCACAATCTTGTGTAAGCATGTGTTTGAGTGTAACGCTTAAAATTTACTGGGCTAAAACACCACAGATTCAATGGAAAGAGAAAGAAAAAAAAAAAAATCACAATAAAGGACTAATCTCTGGTTTCCATAAATTAAACATTTCATCACCAAAGAGACTTGAATGCATTGTGGATTAATTAAACAGATTGAGTAGGGGGAGCCAAATCAATTATGTCTGGTGAAAGATTAAGATCTTCAGTCTAGCCTATTTTTAACAATTTCATATTAAAAAAAAAAGATTAAAAAGAATAAAATTGTATAAAAGAAGGACTAGGTTACTATCCTTCCAGATCAGATTCTTAGGGTAAACCTGCTCTATTTTTCCTCCTAAAAGCAAAGATGGAGGGACTTTAGGAATATGCTTACATGCCATTAAAGGATAAGTTCAAAATAATCCACATGTTTTTGTAAACAAAAACAAAATATTTTCATTACACAGGATCATGCAAAGCATTGGACCCATGGTCAGTGGATCACAGGTGCAATATCAAGCTCCTGGAGACATTTACTCTAGCTTTTTATCCATAACAGCTTGAAAATGGAAGAAAGTTTGAATTGACTGTGAGCGTGCTGATCAGTGTGCTCACAGTCCATTGCAAACTGCAAGCCATCTGCAGCAATGGCAGATGGGACTTGTATTTTCATTATTCACAGATTTATGAATGAATGATGTCAATGTGTGGGAGGAGCCCCACACAGCTGTTCAGATTTGAAATGTGGCAGCAGCTTTGGGGGAAAACCCCCACCTACTGTCACAGGGGGGAACTCAACAGGTGGGGGCGTTTGCTACATAGCAACATGTTACAACCTAGATCCAGTTGCAACATGATGCTAAAGCTGAACCTATACTTTGCCGGTAGGTACCTGCAAGGGCCCGCATGCTGCATCTGATCCTTTTGTAGCACCTCACTACTCTAAAAATTGGGGGTCCAGGTTCCAACCAGCTTGTCTCTGGCTCCTTCTCACAATCAGCACCTTATTATTGCTTAGTGACAGTGTTGGGGGTACCCAGTTACTAGTAAGCTGGTTGGGTATTGTCACCCTGCATTTTGATGGTGCAGGAGAGCTATATGGAGATGTATTGTGCAGACACCTGGAGGTGTCCCTTTGTTTGGTAAAGAAACATATTAATCTGTGCAGGAGGGGAAAACCAATCTTTGAAACAATTATTACAGAATCACAGTTGTGCATTGTACAATGAAAAAATGACTGTAGAGACAATTTTGGTTTTAGTAACCGCAGACTATAAGTGAACTTAAAAAAACTAGTTCCCTTTAGCAGTATATTGGAACTGACAAAAAAAAAAAAAAGTCGTTTCTGGCTAAATGGTCCACCAAACTGGCAAAAGTCATCCGCTGACATTGTTTTTCACTCTGCAGCTGACAGAACTGTTCCTTCCTTACTTTTTGTATCTGGAGGATAGGAGTTCTGTCAATGCCACCACGAAAATGGTTGTCAAGAAAAAGAGAACTAGGATAAAGAAAAAAAATCAGCAGGTTGGAAAACAAAAACATGTATAAATCATGTATTTATTACTTGTAGTATATTTTACTTTAATAGGTATACCCAGGAATTCTTGACCCTTTTACCAATATGGTAATAGGATTTTCAGGGAAGTTTAAAAGTTTAAATGTAAAAACACATGCGAATCCAAATAAAATTAGTTTCAGGCAAACTATACAGGAAAAGGACTCTATTAAACTGTTACTTTCAAGGCACAATGGTCCCTTCTTTGTAGAACTTCACAGCAGTTTCCTGTATACTTAGCTTTCGGAAAGATACCATCTGAGCTAAAATACAAGTTTGTTTAATGTTATAAAGTAGCATGTAACATTCACAAACAAATATGTGATTTCAATGCTAACCAAACTATATCAAAGTTGATCAATTTGCTGTGAATGGCAAAAATGTGGCTTAAATATTACCAATCACAACACTGAGAAAAGTACTTTGGAAAGATGTTAATTTTGTAATGTAAAATATATAAGCACAAATTCTAGCTTTGGCAAAGTTGCCTGTGAAGTTGAGAACCAGTGTTTTTGGTCTGCCTTATTAATCCCTGATGTTAACCATTTATGGCCTCACAAAAAAAAAACAAAAAAACACACACACAAACAAAACACTAATACTACTGTAAAAAAAAACATATATAAAAAATACCAAAAAAATGTGTATACCTCCAATGATGCGATACAGACAGACAATAGAAATTTAAAATATTATCAATTTATTTCACAAACTGCAAACATTAAAAAAAAAATTAAAACCATGTATGTAAGTTAGCCATCCGAAATTCATATGGCCTTGAGATCAGCTTTTAAAGGCTGATGCATTTTGCGAGTAACCCCACTTCATCAGAACCTCAGATCTCAATAAAGAGAGTGTTGTAACAATACATATGATTGAGTTATCATATAAATTCTCAAACAAATCTGAAGTACATATCATATGTAAAAAAAAGATGTAATAATCAATAAAAAAAAAAATCAATTTTTATCATGCCTATTCTGGATAGACAACGGGATCCAAAGAAAAAGGGAGACAACTATATAATTTCATAATTTCATGATACATTCGTATAAAAAAAATAAAAAAATCTGCATCTCCAAATAAGCTCTTAAATCTCAAAACAATATGAATTTTGGATGGCAAACTTACATACATAGTTTTAAGATTCTTAAATGTGTGAAATAAAGTGTTAATATTTTACATTTCTATTGTCTGTCTGTATCACGCCATTGGAGGTATTCACAAAGTCCCCCCCCTTTTTTTTTGTATTTCTATATATGAATTACGAAAGGGATGATACCTCCAAGGGCTGAATTGTCCTAACATCCCACCCCCACACATAATTTTTCTTTTGTAATTAAAACAAAAAAAAAAACAGTTAAAGGAAATATTGGACTAAATTCTTACATAGCCTTTTGTGTTAACAGATATTTTTTATTTCTTTTGTTTTAAAAAGCATTGGCATGTGTTTTCACTACAGCTAATTTGAATTACAAAATGCAGATCAATGAACAAATAACAGAGAATGCAAAACATTCCCCCAACAGATTTTAATGCATTGGTGCAAAAAGGTTTTGTTAAAAGCAACACATTAATTCTAGTGTGTACATTTTACTGCAATTTGAAATGCACAGTGCCTGATATTAGCAAGCCCTAAGTATACTCCAATGGATATTATGTAATTAGTTTTAAGAGAAATGAATAGAAAATAAAATCTTCCCTAATCCCTGCCCCAATGTCTCAATCTTTGCCAACCTAACAAAATTTTGCATATGTGTTTGTGAATGTTTCCAGTCTATTTATATAAGGCAACTTGTATTTTTGGCTCGTGGTTCTTTGAATTACAATACCTGCTTTTTTTTTTTTTTTTTTTTTTTTTTTTTACAGCAAACCCTTTACAGTGTTAATATTTGGTATGTAAGATTTTACTACAAAGTAATCACAAACAGAGAGAGATCGCAACTATAGTGGGTGACTGATGAATGGTCAAATTTGCTAACATAAGTAATTACTATACCTGAAGACCCCTGCAATTATGACATAAATTAAGAACAGCCCACATCATCACAGCCCCCAATGAACAGTTATTTTAGTGATAACAAGCATCATTCTAGTGGGATATGAAGCATCAACCTGCAACCCAGATTTCAAACACAAAAACAGCAGTAGGCTTAGTAGACGGTAAGGTAAACATGAAAGAATAACTTGTTTTGTTACATAGTCTTATTCCACAAAATGTGAAGATGAAGTAATAATTTAAACATTAAATATAACTCATAATTACTTGATGTAGTATTTAATCAGGAAATGTTTCTTCATGGAAAATATATATATATATATAAAAAATAAAAGACTATATCTAAAACAAAACTTGTTATTTGTTTGGGAATACATATTATTCTCTAATTTGATCTGGCAATTAAATAATAATTCTTTCACAATGAAACGTGTATACTTATAAATTTAGGGGAATAAAAAAAAAAAAAAAAAAAAACTTGTGTATAACATAAATAAATAACCTACTGCCTTCATTTTTATGCCATAATGGTGAGAAATGTTGCTGCATTCAGACACAACGTTTATTTATGGAAACAAGAATTGAGATTTCAACAATTACAAAAATAAACAACAAAATAAAAAAAGAAATGGAGAAATAAGAAGGTACGACCAGTAGCTCTTTCTATGTTACTTTTTAAGACAAAGAAAGAAAAACCTGTGTTGATAGAGCCATGCTCTTCCTTTCACTTGCCATAAACAGAAAGCGCAAGAGGGGAAGAGGCAACCATTCTTAGTTGGGAATGACCTGCAATGCTATGCATTCTAGATGCAGAGCAGTGGTTGTTTCCTAACACCATCTCTGCCCTCACTGCACTTACAAACATACCTTCTTAGGGCTAAGTAGCATAATCTAGTTTACAGATTACAACCAGTGTTGGCCACCATTACATAAAAAGCAAGAATTTTATCTGTAAATGGGCAAACGGATGTGGGCATGCTGATGATCAAGAAGCCTTGGCACAGACACTGTTTCGTAACCCTTGCCAAGCATCTGCTCCTTAATACAAGGTGGGTGAATGTCATTGATAAGATACTCCAAAGACTGAAGACTACTGCTAAGGATAGAGGTATTGCAAAGGGTCTTGCTGGGGATGCTGGTTAGTCCATCTGATGGATGTACCCCCAAATCCCTGTGACCATTGGCAAGTTCCTGGGGATTGTAACAGTCACTGTTGGGAGTGACCAAGATACTGTTCCATGGAGGAGCAAAGTATTGCCCCACTGAAAAATTACCATGCATGCCAACACAGTTCAGTGGGGAAGAGCTGACTTTTTCAACGGCACTAGCGAGAGTATAAGGGCGAGATACTCCAGGGCACACTTCTGGTGACTTGCTGACTGCTCCACCTCCACCACTGCCTCCACTGTATATCCGAAGTTGCTGCTGTTGTTGCTTCTGTTGCCAAATTAGGTAGTCCATGCTATCCTGATAGGATCCAGGTTTCGCTATTACTGGGGCAGATCCTAGTGCCATCTCAGCACCTGCTCTACAGTCTTGCAAGACAGTGCCCGTATAAGCCACAGTGCCCCCGGTCATTGCAGTAAAGCCATTGGTCATTCCCTGCTTAGCTGGACTAGAGTTAGTAACCACCACACCCTGACAAGCCTGGTGAGAAGCTTGAGCCTGGCACTGTTGGTTAATCTGGTAAATTATGCTTTGAATGGAGGGCAGATTAGACTGTTGGAGTGTTAAATTTCTACCTGTTAAAGGAATGACTGATGTTGCCACAGTCACATTGGGTGGCACTGGTGCATCCATCTGCTTCTGAGTTGCAAGATAACTCAGCTGTCCATTGCAAGGTTGGCCTTGTGTTAAAGTGCTTGTCATGGTGTAAGGAGCAACACCAACCTGTGCAGCAGAAATCTTAGTTCGTTTTCCCTCTACATTCTTCACTACACTCTTGCTAGAAGATTTAACAATAGCAAGCAGGCCTTGATAGCCACTTGTGTGTATTGGGTAAGGGCTGTAGCGCTGGCCTGTGGTATCATAACCATTTACAGTCCGATTTAGGTGCTTGTGCTGAGGAACCCTGATGTTGGTGGGGAAGATCTTGATAGTTAGTGGGTTGCTTGCAACTTTCTGTGCGTAGGCATCTAGTTCAGCAGGACTTGGGTATCTTGTAGTCTGCATTGGTGTGATAGTTTCACCTGGAAAATGAAAGAAGAAATCAGTATGACTGTGCTCCGCAATTTAAACCCATGTAGAGTTCTGAGGATGTTTTAATCAATACCAAGATACAGAATTCACCATGAAGAATGAGGAGAGAAGAATGAATAAATAAGGAAGGAAGGCTTTGTATATATTAAAGAAAACCTTTCCCAGAGGTCGTCTAGCAGTAATGTGGACCCACTAAAGTGACGCACTGAGCCACAGACCTTAGCTACATATTTTTTTGGGGTAACAATCTTTTGAAATAGCAAGTCAGAATGAGAGCCAGACAACTAGCATTTGCAAAATGAGAAGCCAACAATCAACTCTTGTTGTGTTTAGACAGATGTAGGTGCCTGAATGCAAAAGTGGGATGAAGGAAAATTATCTAACAGATTCCTCCATCCATACAAGCAAGGTGGATGGAGGAATAAACGCCACTGGGACACTGTACTCTGATAGCGGCTCCCACTGCTCTCAGAATACACTGACCAGTGGCTGCAGCTGCTGATTGACAAAAGTTTTCCAGCATGTCCATTTGACAGAAGTTGATCTAACAATCGAACAAGGTAGATCCTGCTGAACTGACTAAACGTCGTTCTGACTATAGCCAGCATTATAGTGATTTAACATTATTTCAGGCTTCTGATGTGGATTGTTATAACTATGAGCTTATGCAGCTAGCACTAAACTAGAGCAACCAATCTCCCAACAGAGCACACTGCTGTAAATTGAAGTTTGATTGGCTAGTACAACTAACAGGACTTGGATAGCAATATTCTTTTTTTTTTACTTAATGAAATGATCCAGAACGTGCTAATCCAATGTTCTAAATTCAGAGTTGATAAATTATGAAAATTAACCCCAGATAGCCAGGCTGGGTTTCATGCGGACATTAAGCACACACAGACATCATATTAAAAAGGAGAAAAATGGTAAACGTCAGCTAGAAAAGACAGGCATTATGCAGGTGAAAGGTTGTTCTAGACATAGCTGTGGCCACCTAGCAGTCTTTTGAAAACTTCTATTATTCAAAAAGATTAAAATGTTTCACACCAGTTTAAAGAAAGAAAATGAAAGAATGAAAACTTGACAAAAATCTTCAAAACGTAGAACATTCCAGGCGGCACCGTCAATGATTATAGCGGTAAATTATGTCTTGTGTCTTTTTGATTACTAAAAAAAAAAAAGTCCATATTTTGTGAGATGGCAGTTAATAATTTAATGACAGGGGAGGAAAGAGCTGTCAGTTCAGCACACATTTGTCTCTATTCTTCTGTTAACAGACAAAAAGCCTTAGAACTGTGGCATTTGGTTCCACCCAAAAGTACTTGGGGAGACAAAAATTACTGAACTGCTGTCGCTAAAAATTCCCTATAATTAATGAAAAAAAAAATCTACACTTTATAATTTAACCCTTACGTCATCTGCCGCTAGACACTGCAGTGGGTATTTCCAATTGATGGAGCGATAACAGTATGATCAGTGACATTTCTATTTGATGCATGTTGATTTGCACAGACCTCTATGGGCTAAATAACTGCCTTCATTTTGTACTGCAGATTTTTTAGAACCACTTTTAATTTTAGATGATTGTGTGATTGCATGGTTACTTATGCTGAGCAAACGCAATGCAATTTCATCAAGCAAAAACAAATTAGGCACTGCTTTAATTATCTGGGAGTATCAGGTTTCATAATCAAAGCGTAACCAGCATTTAACAAAAACACCCTTTGTTAGCAATAATCAATTAAGTCTTTCAGCATGCTGGGAAATTCTGTTGTCCAAACACAGAATTTATTTTTGGGTGGAAAACCATGGAAGATAGTTCAACCTTTCCACACACTAATCGGTTTTTTTTATGACAAAAGGTTTATGTTTTTGTATATTTTTTTACATGAAGAATACATTGTCCCAGCTTGTTTGATATATTTTCAGCGCTAGAATGTGATGTACAGCAGCATAGAGTAAGCACAAAGCATCAGTTAATTGGCACATATTTTATACGGAGATTCAAGGTATAACGAACTACATAACAGTCTTCTTCTAATAATACAAATGAGAATGAGAATGAAAAGGTCTGTGTGGTTTCTTTATAGCATATTTGCTAATGCTTTGCCTGGACTTCTTGAGATGATTGGAGACAATTATGAACTGGCAATGTTATCTATAGCAACCGTTTAGCAGTTTGCTTAAATTTTTTAAGCCAATGTAGGAAAATTGTACAGTTTAATTGGTTGCAATGGGTAACAGCTTTTTTTTTTGCATATGTTTTCACTAATGTTCCCAATGCATAAAATAATCTGATAGGTTTCCAAGTACTGTTTTCCATTTCACTGCTTACCCTAAGAGCTAGAGCATGAGCAGTGTTAGAGGAGTCCTCCTAATGTGTCTCGACCTTATTCTTGTGTTTTCTAGGACCCTAATGATAACACTTTGTCAGTCACTGCACTACGAAGGAAAGTAGCATCTATGCATTCTAGCTATTCAAACAATATCCAGAAAAAGGCAGATATGCTAGACTAATTGTAATGTGAATCTAACCATTTTTAAAGGAAATTGGAGTTTTTCTCAGAAGACAAGAAGATGGAAGTGTCACAGACCAGAACCCAGACAATATATGGGACGGTGAAGATATGGTTTCAACCTAAGCTCCTCCTGACTACACCCCTCTGACATGTTTTGCCTTGCACATGGGGCTTAATCATAGAGATAAGGTCTACAGTTTTTCTCAAACACATACAGTGGCACCAATAGCTAAAGCTTCCTACATTAAAAAATCTTTCATCTCCTGTTGCCCAGAACCAACAGTGAGGTGAATGATAGTACAACTAATATATCTGCTTTGCTAAAGAGGAAACGAATATGAGATGAAATAATAAATAGAAAGAGGTGGAAAAAAAAAAACCCTGGAGCACATCCATATATATTAACACTCCTACTGCTGCCCGTGTCCCCATTGAGAAAAAACATCCTATATGAGACTACTCTTTGCAAGAAAATGTGATAAGAAATTTAAAACATTGAGCTATCACCAGAACAGCAATACAGGGGAAATCTTCCAGTGGGGACACATGTTCCATGACAACTAAAGCTGGCCATTCATGAATCATAATTCGGCCAGTTCAGCAAGGAACGGCTGAATGTAGATCCATGTATGGGCTAGGTGGTGGTACACAAGTTGACCTATTGATTGACTTGTGTACAACCAGCCTGTCGGGTTTTTCGCAATCAGTGCCTCCGGGTATAGCTGGCAACCCTGATCATTCTATTCTGCTGGCGGGGAAGGCTGAATATAAAGCAGAGAGAGGATTCCCGTATCCACATTGAATGTGTGGATGGGGGAATCGGCTCATTTTTTTCTTCGTTCAACCCACTGGTTGAACAAAAAAGAATTATTCACGTGGGACCTCCCTTAGAGTGAATATTCTATTACTTACTGTTAAGTGTAATGGACTGGAAGTTAAACCTGAGGTTTAGCTAAACAAAAAAATTCTCACTAAAGCTTTACTGATAGTACTTGCCAGCAAAAAAAAGTATGTCCTGCGGGCGGTTGGATCCAGTAGAAATCTTCTGTGCAGGGATGCTGGTGCTCTTCCTATCCCTCAACGTCGAGCACTACAATGGTTAATCGTTTTTTTTTCTAGGCAGAACTTTAGTGAAGACGGTCTGAAGGGGTCCCACCCCATTCTCCTCCATTGAAAAAAGCCTATGCATAAATAACATTACACATAGAACAATCTCTGAATAAAGGGAGGGTTTTGTAATTTGTCTGAATTTTCTCCGTTCATAAATACTGAAAACAAGGAAAGAACTTCTCAATGGAGGAGAGGGCAAGTCCTCAGCAAACCGTCTTCACAGTAACTCTGGCTGAAAATTGGAAGCAAAAAGCCTCTGCCACTCTGGATGACCAGCATCAGGAAGAGGTCCAGCATTCCTGTACAGTAGATTTTTTTGCAGGATCGACTTGCCTGCATAACATGGGACAGATAAGTAATGTTGTCAGGAAAGCTGTAGAGATTTTTTGTTTTTCAGCGTTTTGAGATGGTTCACACTGTGGAATCGCAACGCATTCCTGTTCAAATCACTTGTGATTCTGTGCAGTGTGATTTGAGCCCGTTCATTTTGCATGGCTCAAATCACACCACATCCACATGAAAAAGGTGTGGGTACCTTTTTTTGGATCACATACAGTGGGGATCGAAAGTTTGGGCACCCCAGCTAAAAATGTGTATTAATGTGCATAAAGAAGCCAAGGAAAGATGGAAAAATCTCCAAAAGGCATCAAATTACAGATTAGACATTCTTATAATATGTCAACAAAAGTTAGATTTTATTTTCATCATTTACACTTTCAAAATAACAGAAAACAAAAAAATGGCGTCTGCAAAAGTTTGGGCACCCTGCAGAGTTAATATCTTGTACTGCCCCCTTTGGCAAGTATCACAGCTTGTAAACGCTTTTTGTAGCCAGCCAAGAGTCTTTCAATTTTTGTTTGAGGTATCTTTCCCCATTCTTCCTTACAAAAGTCTTCCAGTTCTTTGAGATTTCTGGGCTGTCTGTCACGCACTGCTCTTTTAAGGTCTATCCATAGATTTTCAATTATGTTGAGGTCAGGAGATTGTGAAGGCCATGGCAAAACCTTCAGTTTACGCCTCTTGATGTAATCCCCCGTGGATTTCGAGGTGTGTTTAGGATCATTATCCATTTGTAGAAGCCATCTTCTCTTTAACTTCAGCTTTTTTACAGATGGCATCAAGTTACCATCCAAAATTTGCTGAAATTTTATTGAATCCATTTTTCCTTCTACTCGTGAGATGTTCCCTGTACCACTGGCTGCAACACAACCCCAAAGCATGATTGATCCAACCCCATGCTTAACAGTTGGACAGAGGTTCTTTTCATTCAATTCTGTGCCCCTTCTTCTCCAAACGTACCTTTGCTCATTTCGGCCCAAAAGTTCAATTTTAACCTCATCGGTCCACAGAACTTGTTTCCA